TGGGGCTTGGCATTGGACCTCGAGGGGGGGAACATGCTCGGCCGAGGAGGAGAGGGAAGGAGAAGGGTGGGCGAGGGCGGCGGGGTTGGACGGACAGCGAGTGACAATCCCCTCGATACTGACTAGACTACCGAGGTAGTGCGCGGCCAGCATCCGAGGGTTGAGCGAGTGCGCCCCAAGTGGCCCGGTGATGCCGATGCGCAACTGGCCCTCGGTCTCGCGCGCGTACAGATGGTTGATGGACTCGACCATTTCACGCAGGGCCTGCTCGAAGGCAATCAAACGAAGGGACGGGTTTTTCAGGAGGCTGCAAGACGGATTAGTGGCCGGGAAGACGGGGGGGGGGAGCGACAAGCAGGCACGGGGTGCTGCTGGGCGGCTGCAATCGGCCGTACATCTTGGCCTCGGCCGCGTTGAAGGCGCGCAGATCGTCAATATTTACAATCAGCCGAGTTTGGCGCTTGTTGATCATCTGGGCGACCAGGTCGCGGTAGTTGACCGAGAGATCCTGCGGGCAATGAAGAGTCAGGGGGGTCAGGAGCCCGGCGGCGACAGCGAGGGCAGGCAGGAAGGGGGGGGGGGAGGGCGGGGCAGGAAGAAGCCCAGGATGGGTTTTCCTCAGCAACGTACCGTGCTATCGAGAAACTGCGCATACAGTCGAACGACCAGCGTGTCGATGTCGACATCGCCGCTTGCCACGGCGGAGGAGGTCGAGAGGAAGGTGCTCATGCTGTCTTGCTCTCTCGGCTGCGAAGGACAAAACCGCGGATGCTGAGTCTCGCTAACAGGGGCCCTGGGCAGAGAACACTGGATCGAGCGAAGGAAGGGGGAGGAGGGGAAGGAAGGGAACGGGGGAAGAGAGTCTGAGGGGGGGGGGGAGGTGTGTGGGGGTGTGGAGCAAGCCCGAGAAGTTCGCATCCTGTCAGGGTGGTGGCCCTTCTCCCTGGAGGAGGGCGGAGGGCGGAGGGCGGAGGGCGGAGCGAGACAGGGAGAGCGAGAGAGAATTGCTGGCAGGGAAATGTGCGGCATCCCCCCTCCCCGCACGGAGCGGGCCATGGGCTGACATGCCAGATCGCCGACACAGACACGCCTGGAGCACCCACCCGGCCAGCGCCCCACCCCACCCCCC